TGGTGTGTGTTGTGTGTGTGTGTTGTGTGTGTTATGTGTGTGTGTTGTGTGTGTGTGTGTGTGTGTGTGTGTGTGTGTGTGTGTGTGTGTGTGTGTGTGTGTGTGATTAGCCTAGAGGGATAAGCTGCCATGATAATAAATAAATACATGGCTCAAGCTATAAACAGAGAAAGACGGAAAGAGAACTCAATAATTAAGTTAATATGGGATTTGTTAATTTTAAAATAAACAGATGCACTGGAGTATTTAAATTTTTACATTTATTGGGTTGTTTATTAATTAAGAATTCACTTAAATCAAATACAGCAAGCTCTTAATAAACAAGATATGAATTCATGTCTGACGAACACAATGAATCAATTGGAAATTAAAAAACGATTAAAGTGGAAGAAACAACGTAATCTGAAGGCAAACGAATCCCAAAAGGATTAACAGAAAAATACATTTATTTTATTTGTTGAATCTGTGAATGCATTCCTCCCGGCAGCGGAAGGCGTTCCTGACCTCCTCTCTGGTGATGGGCTCCGTGTTCTTCCTCTGCAGCCTCGTGCTCTTCTTCGGGGTGAAGGAGCAGCGAGGTGAGGCGTCCAGGACACATATTATAAATAACACTTATTTACTTTCTTTACCTCATCATGTTCCACTCAAATGTAAAGAATATTTAGCCTTGTTTACCCGTGACAAACAAGCCTAAATATTCGTTACATTTCGAATTACTACCATACAAATAATGACAATAAACTTAATTATAACATTAATAAAATAAAATAACAGTGCATTTTTTTAATGAAGACTTTATGATTTATTTTTGACATCAAAAGGATCAGGACTTAAAGAGAGGGGTCTTTGTTCCTGAAACGTCCAGAGTCTCTTAACACAGAGGGGACACACACATATTTATGTATACATACAAAAGTGGATTTTGCAGAATATGTAACCTTTATAGGAAGCCATGTGTGTTTAACTCAAAAAAGTCCCTGGTGGTGCACGATGATTTAAATGAAGTTCATTCTGATTGTTCCTGGTGTTTCTCTTCTGTCTTTGACGTTATCTTGTCTTCACCTGCAGCTCCTCTGGTCTCGGAGGACAGACAGCGTCCCTCCTGTCTCTCGTCTCTAAAGAAGATGATCCGTCACGCTCCATATCAGCGGCTGCTGCTCGGCTCCGTGTTCAGCGTGCTCGCATTCCAGGTCCACTTTGGGTTGCATCCCTCTCACCCTCAGCACTAATGAAGAATGAGATCATATAAAAAAGACTCGACCTGTGTTCAGACTTCTCTGCATGACTTTGCTTGGTTTTCAATGTTCTAATTTGGTTCTGTTTATGTATTTAAAAGTCAGAAAAGCACAATATTTCTTATCTTTTTTTTTCCCGTATCTCTCAGATGTCCTTGGGTAACTTTGCCCTCTTCTGCAGCCATGCGGCGGGGCAGGGGGGGCATTTCCAGCTCCTCCTGCTGGTTCTCCTGGTGAGGTGCAACACACATGATATGTATGTAGTATGCAACATTTAAAAAGCCTTCTTTAAAGGTGGCCTATCATGCAAAATGCACTTTTGTACGTCTTGTATACATGAACATGTGTCCCCGGTGTTCCAGGGAACTCACCAAGTGTCAGAAAACACAACGCTCTCTATTTTCCTCCATACCCAAATCTCTTAAAAAGGGGCTGCAACGGATCTGATACAGACTGATCCAGATTTGAACACTTCTGTGATGTCACAGAAGTGGCGCAACGGCTATTGGGCCAACTCCACCAATCAGGAGGAGACAGCCACGGACATTGCCGTTG